TTCTATAGTTAGTATCAATTTCCATGATATCTTTAAGAAGCTTCTCAGTGAGGCAGATTATGCTCTATAGTTAGTATCAGTTTCCTTGATATCTTTAAGAAGCTTCTCAGTCAGGCAGATTATGTTCTATAGTTAGCCGTAGTATAATCGAAGGATTTATTACTCTGTAATAAACAATTGTCCTAATATTTTCATTGATAATTCTTTTCCTAGATTTTTTTCTTTCTATTGTTCATTATCAGTTTCTACCTACTGCTCGAAAAAGGCTTAACTCTATGCTAGCTTTGATATTACGACCAGATGTCTATTAAAACACGGTTAAATTAAAAAATTTAATATGTTTTCGTGGTTTAATATTACCCTACATTTTCCTGTAACTTTAACACGTGTAAAGGTTTTATTATTTTTTCGGATATGTCAATAAATGTAAAAAAGCTAGAGAACTGTACACTTAAACTGCATCTCCAGGAGACTTGGTTAATCCTGATGGTCGGTCTGAGAGAATGTTCTACTTCGAACATGTGATTCGCATAAAGACTCCAGAATAGCCTTTTAAATCAACGAATACAATTGAACGGGTTTAACACCTGTAGCTTCGTGAAGTTTGTAAATTGTTTTACTATAGGCCAATGACGCAGGAACCGTGAGAGAAGAGAAGGGAATGCTCCCCTAGATTTGTGTAGAGGTAGCAAGTGGGAGCAGCAGTCCCCCCCCCCCAAGTAGAATAAATCCTATGGAGACCAAAACAACAACAAAAATTCCACTTAGAATTCCATTCGTCAAAATTTTCACATAAAACATAAGTATTGTATAATGCCACCAGTTATCCAGTAATAATACTTTCACGTGTAAGTTTCGGGTTCGTTGAAAGTTGCTTCCCCTTGATAAAAATAAGTTTTATGCCTCTGCTATAGGCACAGTCAGGTTATTTTTTCTATGTCACTCTAATAGGCTGCTGGATTATAACATTTTTAGGCTAAGTAAAAGCTCGTGACAGAAAGTGTATGTTACGTTGGTAATAAATTTACCATCTTATCTTTTTTTTTTTAATGCGATTCATTTTACAAGCAGTTTTCTGAGCAGTTGCCCTGCCCACTGTTAGCCACGAATAATGAATCGAATTTAGCTATCCTTTGTTCGTTTTATTCCATTTAGCTAGACTGAGTTAACTTATATTCTTGAAAACTCGTCTATGTTATAATGAATACGTCGAACTCGCAGTTGAAACTAAAGTATATATTTAACGTGAACGTCGCCTAAGATACCGAACGTTTCTCGTTTTCCAATACTTGGTTGGAGCTTTGTTCTTTTCTTTTTATTCATCAATCAGTAGTTGATGTCAGGAGAAAACTTAAACTCTCTTTCCGAATCTGATTCAATTTTGTTTGTTTGTGTGTTTTAAATCTTCTACTTCTTGAATGAACGACTGACATTATCTAACTGATCATAAAGCATCTCTGTTTTATAAGATATCGTTTTACGTAACCACAACGAAGCAAATTGATATAGGGGGGCTATGAAATTAGTTTCTGTTCAAAATATGGGGAGGAGAGGGGTAGAATTCAAAGTGGTATTCATAATCTTGTAGTGCTGTAACTAATCCTTACCATTCATTTTTAATTAAAATCTAGTAATATTTCTCCATGAAATATAAGAATTGATTAAGATTTAATGGACAACTTTTTTTCTAGAGTCGCAGAACACACAGTCTTGATCAGAGAAGGGAGATCTATCTCTTTCTACTCTGAGAAGTCCTTCATCCATGATTCTGGTATGTATCTTCACTGCTTTATCTATTTAGTGTTATATCCATTTGTCTTTGTCTAGTGTTTAGTCTTTAGAAATGTCGTTAAAATCTTACCAAACACTTATAAAATGGCTTAATAATAAAAAAGACTAAGATGTACTAGCGTTGGTTTTAAAGTAAGTATTCAAACTTGATTATTTTACATCCCATTCATGTTCTAATGTTTTGCGATTGGTACAAAGTTGGAGATTTATCATTCTTACAACTAATTAAAATTCGGGCTTCCACTGGCTCAGCGGTAAATCTGAAGGTTTATAACACTAAAAACAGGGTTTCGATGCCTGTGGTGGGAATAGGATAGATGATCCGTTCTGCATCTTTGTGATTAACAACAGACAGACAAAGAAATGAAGTTAAACTTCTAAAGTGTCACAAGAATACGTCGATCCTCCATTGTTTTCTGTTTGTGGAGGGGAATTTAGAGTCAGGATAATGTTTTCATTAGGTTCTGGGTAAAATCCCTCTATTTTGCTATTTACAACTCATCTATCCAGCTATTCTGGCATTGTCTACTAGCTTTTTTTTTATCCTGTTAGCACCATCACTCTCATTGCAACCTTTCTTGAGTCTCTTTTTGCCTTGTACATGTTCGTGACTGTCTAAAGTGTAACTGTTTGTAAAGGTCATGACTATCTAAAGTTTAACTGTAAATGTTCGTGACTGTATTAAGTGTAACTGTAAGTGTTCGTGACTGTCTAAAGTGTAACTTTTGTAAATGTTCGAGACTGTCTGAAGTGTAATTTTTGTAAATGTTCGTGACTGTTTGACGTGTAACTTTTGTAAATATTCTTGACGGTTTGAAGTGTAACTGTTTGTAAATGTTCGTGACTGTTTGAAGTGTAACATTTGTAAATGTTCGTGACTGTTTGAAGTGTAACTTTTGTAAATGTTCGTGACTGTTTGAAGTGTAACTTTATAAATGTTCGTGACTGTTTGAAGTGTAACTTTTGTAAATGCTCGTGACTGTTTGAAGTAGGACTGTTTGTATATTTTCGCGACTGTTTGTAAATGTTCGTGGCTGTTTGAAGTAGGACTGTTTGTATATTTTCGCGACTGTTTGAAGTGGAACTGTTTGTAAATGTTCGTGACTGTTCAAAGTGCAACTGTAAACCTTCAGGACAGATATAATTCGATGATACGAGTATTAGTTCCTTGTAACTTTACCATTATGCTACACTTCTGTAGAATTTCCATATTATTTGTACATAAGATATACGTTATTTTCATACACAGTATAAAATGTGAATAAATGA